TGTGTGTGTGTGCGTGTTTGTGTGCATGTGTGTGTGTGCGTTCGTGTGTGTGTGTTGTGTGTGTGTGCGTGTTTGTGTGCATGTGTGTGTGTGTGAGTGTGTGTGTGTGTGTGTGTGTTTGTGTGCATGTGTGTGTGTGTGCATGAGTGTGTGTGAGTGTGAGTGTGCATGAGTGTGTGTGCATGTGTGTGTGAGCGTGCGTGTGTGTGTGTGTGCATGTGTATGTGTGTGCATGTGTGTGTGCGTGTGTGTGCACATGTGTGCATGCATGTGTGTTTGCGTGAGTGTGCGTGTGTATGTGTGAGTGTGTGCGTGAGTATGAGTGTGTGTGTGTGTGTGTGTGTGTATGCACATGTGCATTCTGTGTCAGTTTGTGTTTTGTTTCTGTGTAAACCTGTCTCGAATGTGAACAGAGCTCTGTGCTTTGTCTGTCCCTTTCTTCCATTGTCTGTGTGGATTTATTTTGGTGAGTGTCTTTGTGTGTGTCTCTGTGTCTCGCTCCCTGTAAGTGTATCTGTGTTTGTGTGTGTGCATATCTCTCCCTGTGTGTGTGTCGCTCTCTTTCTCTCCCTGGGGATATCCCTCTGTCTCTGTGTTTTTGTCTCTGTCTCTGTGTATGATGTTTGATGAATTTCTGACACTCACTTGGGTTCCTTCTCCCTTCAGGTTCGTTGCAGTATAATGAGGTCACCACGATCCCAGCCGGTGCCACTTACATCAAAGTGACTGATAAGAGCAGCAATTATCTGGGTGAGCAGTTATCTATTTAATATGTAGAATCTTTAGCATACTCTCAACCTCACAATTCAGGCTGGATTTAAAACCAAAATTAGGCAGCAACTGTCTAACAAATTTTGAAGGAGAGCCACACTGGTCTGAACTCTGTCCCTCTCTCTCTCCAGACGCTGCCAGACCTGCTGATTTTCTCCAGCACACTCTGTGTTTGTCTCCAACGGGAGGTTGGTGGGTTTCTGGGAGCGCCATTGGTTACAACTGCCTTCCCTTGCATGGAGAAGATGAAGGGGTGATGGGTCGTGTCTGAGATAGCTGTCTTACCCCCCCACCCCGACACCTCTGCCCCAACCCAGGGGTAAATGAGTTTGTGTGTCAGGTTCAGGGCCAGACTGGGGCGACCCCCAAATTAAGAACGAGGCTCTGGCACTCCACAATCCCAATGTCGGGAATATCTGTTGCAGAGAGACTGCAACTGATGCCATTCTCCAGGCTCCTGCCCAGAGTGGGGAAGGGCACCTGCCTTGCTGTGGGGTACACTGGGTGCCAGAGGAGCCCACATTCCCAGCCACACCCTGTACCTTTAGCAGGAGAAGGTGTGAATCACAACAGAGCACCAGTGGCAAGAACTGTGCCGCCTCTCGCCCTATTTCACAGCTAGAGTGTAGGTTCCTCTGCTCAATCGGTTTAACCTGTTGAACCCCCGCAGCTCTGCAGAACAGAGACTACAAATACATCATTAACGGGAACTTGGCCATTAACTGGCCAGGCACGTACACAGCAGCTGGGACTAAAGTCCACTACAGACGCTCAGCAGATCACCGAGAGAGCTTGGAGGCCATCGGGCCCACGAAGGAGGATCTACATCTGATGGTAAAAATCACAGCCAACACTTTCTCATTGCTCAGTGCTGAAATGGAGACTCACCAACCTCTTCACCCAGGACTTCAAACTCATGCATCACCTCTCCTTCCTCGCTCTTTCCTGTATCCCCTCCCCAGGCACGCTCACACACACACACACACATGCAGACACACGCATGTGCACACACACATACATGCAGACACACGCATGTGCGCACACACGCACACATGTACACGCAAATGCACACAGGCATAGGTGCACATGCACAGACAAGCACACAGAGAGACACAATCACACACACATCTGCACACAGACATGAACGTACACATGCACAGATACACACACACACATACACATGCGCACAGACACATACACACAGATGCACACAAACACACAGATATACACAAACACGTACACACACACACACAGACATATGCACACACACACACGCATGTATACACACACGTGTAAATGCACACAGAAACATGCACACACACATAGACACACACACACACACAGAGGTACACAGATGCGCACACAGACATGTACACGCATAGACACACGCATGTACACAGACACTCACTCACGCATGCATGCACATACACATATACACACTCACACACAGGCACACATGGAAACACAGACACACACGAACATACGTGTACACAGACACACACAATCAAAAGCAACTTAAAAGCCACGTTTGTCCCCTCTAACTCCTTCGATTGTCCCTGAGGCGCCTCTCCCTGCAGTTCCTGTAATCGATGCTCCCATTAGCATTGACAGAGCAGCTGGATGTAACCCAGTTAGGCACTGTTACCCATTGCAGGGGTAACAGGACGGTGTGTGAGGGCCAAGCCTCCGGGCATCCCTCTGGAATATTCCCCCCAATGTGATTTGCTGATTGAAGATGGCCCATTCTCACGTTCTCTGCCCCCTCCCCCAACCCCAGAATGTGGTCTATCCTCCACCCAGGTCTACTTTCCAGCCTTCAGTCAGTGTGTGAGGATTGGACATCACAGGAGGAGACCATTTGGCCTATCGTGCTCGTACTGGCTCTGAGAGATCTTTCCAATCAATGCCCCTCCCCCCACCCATGATGCCCTCTCCACCACCACTCCTTTCTCATTGCTGAACGTTTGTTTTCTCTTGTTTCAGCAAACTTTTCCCATTCCCTTTCAAAGGTGACTATTCTGCCAGCCTTTCAGCGCAGTGTGTTCCAGGTCACAATGATTCACTCTGTCCAATAAACCCATCCCCTACCCCACCTCCTCCTGCTTCTTTTCCCAGTCACTTTAAACATGTCTCCTCTGGTTTCCCACTCTCCTGCCAGTGGTTCTTTGTAAAGGAAAAGCAGACAGTCCAGGGGGTAGCACTGAGGGAGTGCGGCTCTGTCTGAGGGGCTGACTGTCACATCATGCACTGTCTGTCAGTCCTCTCTAGTGAGTACAGAGGATCCCACCATCACAATTTCCTAGAAGAGTAGAGGACTTCTCCAGGACCAATATTAAAGAGAGGTGGTGGTAAAAAGTCACTGGGCTAATAATCCAGAACCCCAAGTTAATGCTCTGGGGACATTGGTTCAAATCTGACCATGAGAGATGTTGGAATTACAAGTCTAAAAGACATAATTTAATAAATAATAATGGCTGTGTAACCACTGTTGATTCTTGTAAATACTGGGTCACTAATGCCTTTCAGGGAAGGAAATCAGCAGTCCTTGGCCTATGTGTGACTCCAGACCCACACCAATGCGGATGGCTGAGCTGAGACCAGTTAGGGAACAGGCGATAAATGCTGTGCTCCCATTTCCCATCAGCAAAAATAAAAACATTCAACATCACAAAGACAGACCATCAGTGTCTGTGGGCTCTTGCTGTGCGTAGGTCAGCTGCTGTGTGTTTCTGACACCAGTAGGTACATTTCTGTAGTGATTGGAAGGAGGTTGGCCAGGTGGATCTCATTGACTGTGAGGTCCCTGATTGGGGCTGTTAACCCGAGTCAATCAGGGAGCCCTGGCTGATAGTTATAAACAGGAATCTCAGGGATTCTCCCTACTCTTGGGACTGGCTCTGAACCAGCTGGTCAGAGTCCATATACTGTGCATGTATAAATAAAGGATGGTGGGATACCGGAGTTATTTCAATTTCCAAAAAACATTCCAAAATAGGAAGTCTTGAAATTGTTAAAGACTCGATTTAAAAGGGAGTTTTACCTTAAATCTTTCTGCAGGTTCTGTCCATGGAGCAGGCCTCAGGGATCAATTACGAATACTGGCTTCCCAATGATCAGTACCGGCTGTACCACGGAGACCACAATGTTCTGAGAGGGGCACACCATGCGGTGGTCCACACATCTCACTCATTCTCACGGGCATCGCCAATCGAGGCCACCACCCTCGCCATGACAACTACCCCCATCTCAGGTGGGTTCCTGCACCAATCAGAGTTTCCAACACTGCTCATGCTATTGCTCGGTCAACCATTGGTCCATCATCCAAGTGCACCACCTTCGAATGGCCAATCAGAAAGGGAACAGGCTTTTTGTTATCCAATCGGATTCACTTTTGATTATTTTGGAAGCAGCCATTTTATCCGCTGTTCCCAACAAAGTTACAAAAGTTGTAAAATAAAGAGTGTCTGGCTGTGAGTCTCCCACAATTCCAGGAGGTTGAAGCCATTGGCTATCGCTGTCACCTGGGCATCTTCCTCTCATATACACCTTGCATATGGGCAAAGATCAGTTTGAGGGATCGATTAGGAAGCTTACTAACAATAAAACTTCTCTGAGTAGATCCCTTCAGCCCATGAAATCCACAATAAAATAGTACTTTTCTGCACAAGCCATTTTGTCAATTGCATTTGTATAGCACCCTCATTGAAATAAGATGTCCCGCAATGCTTTGCAGAAATGATGGGTATCAAGGGATGTGCAAGAGAATTATAGAATCCCTACAGTGTGGAAAAAGGCCATTTGGCCCATCAAGTCTGCATCCCACCCAGATTCACCCCCCATCCTCACAACCCTGCATTCCCCATCGCCAATCCACCTAACCTACACATCCTTGGACACTATGGGGCAATTTAGCATGGCCATTTTACCGAGCCTGCAAATCTTTGGACTGTGAGAGGAAACCAGAGCACTGGAGGAAATCCACGCAGACACAGGGAGAATGTGTAAACGTGGAATTGAACCCAGATCCCTGGCATTGGGAAGCAGCAGTGCTAACCACTGAGCCACCATGCTGCCCTCTCAGAGGATGCAATTGGAGGAGCTCATCCCAGTTCTGTAAAATGGGAAGTAGGGGGTGAGTGAAATTGTTGAGACCAGCAGAAATTGGGAAGTGATGTCTCTTTGGAATCCTTGCTGGGAGCTCTCTGTTCAACGTTTATACAGATTTGAGGAATAAGAGGGGAGGTGGTGATATTTGCAGATGGTATGACATTGGACATGTTGAGGTGATGATGTTGAGGACATCAAGATGAAGAGGCAGAGTGACCGGATTGATTAACAGAAATGTAAAGTGCGAGGTGATTGGTTTAAGTTCAGAGGAGTAAGAAAAGTCCCTTTTCCTACAAAAGGTGAGGTACCATGAGGTAGAGGTGCAAAATGGTCTGGAAATGCAAGCACACACATGACTGAAACCAAGGAGATGTAGGAGGATTCTTTCTGCAACCAGAGGAACACTCGAGAAGGAAAGGTCTCCCATTAAAGACTAAGAACATAGAACATAGAACATAGAACATTACAGC